TTTTGTTCTCTAAAAAAAGAATATGCATTTCTTTTATAATTAAAAATAGTATCTGATTTTTTCTGCCAGAAACTACAGCCTGTATGAGGGCTTATTTTGTATATCAGTGTTTCTCAATTGTGTCTCCACATCAGAATTACTTAGGGATCTTTAAAAAAAAAAAAAAAAAAAAAAAACATGGATACCCAGGGAACTGACCCCTGAGATTCTGATGTCATTGTCCAGGCAAGGACCTGGGACATCAGCATATTTTAAAAGTTCCCCAGGTGGTTCTAATATGCAGTCATGGTTGACAATCATGGCTGAATTTGATGTGAGGCTTAAAAGGATCCCAGAAGGCCACTGTGATGAGGTATTTTCAGTACATAATTACTGGGGGATGCAATCCAGAGCAATCTATCACTTCTTTGTCAGGCTAAGTGTTGGCATGAGACTGAGTACAAATAATTCCAAGGAGACATGTGGAAAAGAATTTTGCTTGCATTGTGTAAAAGTATCCATCTCTGCGGAAGGCCTTCTTATCAAACAGATTTACTCAAGCACCCTCAACACATAAAGGATTGCTGTAAACTAGTCATGACCCTGGGAGATACAGGAATTTCTTAGAAGACCAGGAATAGGCAAACAGCTGCAYCTTAGATTCTGTTTGGTACTGGGAGGTCCCAAAAGAGCTACAGGAACCAGAGTTATTTTGAGATCCCCATAAGTTTTTAAACTTCCCTCATCTGGAGAGCCACTCTTTTTTAATAAAATGGTTTTGGAAGCCTGATCCAGAAAAAAGATGGAAGAGGAACTGTCTTACCTCCCCCACTGAAACTCCTGCTTCATGAAACCTCAGCAGGGTCTGGAAATCCAGTAAGCATAACTCTCTCCTTTGTGCTTCCTTTCAGAGGTGTCTATTCCCCATGTTTCCCTCATCGCTGACTAATTTTGCCTYTATGTTCCTGATCAAAGATCAGATTGGCTCGGCTAGCCCAGGACAGTCTGTTACTGATGGGCAGGATTCTCCACACTGGGTGACTACACAGATGTACCAAACAATTCAAGAAGTCATGTGACTACCCCTGGGAAGCTGGTCCAGAGAGGGAGAGCACTAGAAGTGGGGTGTGTCAAGCCTCCTTATGATAGAAGAAGGAGATTGTGGGTGAGGTGATTTTYCTTAGAATGGAAGAGTGGATAGAAATGTACTACAACTGACTTACCAGGCCAAGCACTAAGTCAGCCCTCAGGGAATGTTGAATTGGAGGGTCATGTTTTCCACTGTGCATGAAACTGTGCATAAAACTGCTTAAATGCTAGTAAAGATGCCCAGGAGAAATCTGGCAGGAAGATGGAGGTTTTTCGGACTCCAAGAATCCAGGTCTTACCAGTCTGGAATGTCAGGAGATTGGCATTCATTTTTCCTTTGACATTGGATATGTGCCATGGGTAGTATTGAGCACTTGGTTAGTTCAAATTGACATGAGTTATAAGTGAAAATACACACTATTTTCAAAGCCTTCGAATTATAAAAGGAACATCTAGGATTTGTGTTAATAATTTTTTACATTGATTACATGGTAAAATATTTTTACTATAGCAGATTAAATAGAGCATATTATTAAAATTGATTTCACCTGTATTGCTTTTTAAAAATGAGTTGCTATGGATTGAATATCCCCCCCCCAAATTCATATGTTGAAGCTCTAATCCTCAATGTGACAACATTTAGAGGTGGAGGCCTTTGGGGAGTGATTTGGTTTAGATGAAGTCTTCATGGTGGGATTCCCATGATGGGATGCATGTCCTCAAAAGAAGAGGAAGAGAGAACCTGACATGGTAGCACATGCCTGTAATCCCAACAGCTCGGGAGGCTGCTGGGATTACAGGCATGTAAAGGATTGCGAGTTCAAAACCAGTCTTAGCAAAAAAGTGAGGCACTATGCAGCTCAGTGAGGCCCTGCCTCTAAATAAAATACAAAATAGGGCTGGGGATGGGGCTCAGTGGTCAAGTGCCCCTCAGTTAAATCCCAGGTAACGCCCCCCCCACACACAAAAAAAAAAAAAAAGAAAAGGAAGGGAGAATGGTGCTCACTTTTTCTCTACCATGTAAGGACATAAGAAAAAAAAAATGATCATATGCAACACAGGAAAAGAGCCCTCTCTGGGGAATAAAATCAGCTGGCACCTTGATCTAGGATTTCCTACTCTAAGAAATATACATCTTGGTTTAAGCTGCCCAGATTGTGGTATTTTATAATGACCTAGTTAAAACATGTGACTATTAGAACATTTAAAATTGTGTATGTGGCTCATATCTTTCTGGTGGACAGTGCTGAATTTGATGGTAATTCTGACATAGTAACCCTGATATTCTTCTCCTGCTCAGATATGGCTGTAAAGATCTTTGGATGAGCAACAGCCCTTTGCTGTGGGGCCCTCTCAACATCCTGTTCCTGGTTTGTAATCTGAGCTGTGGCAGTTTATCTCATTCTGGCTCCTTGTCCCTCAGCCTTGAGGTGATACCTTCTCTCAGGAAGCACCATGCAATCCTCTCCTTGGTTTCCCAGCATCCCACACCCAGATGGTATTGTTTATGGCTCCACCTCAGCAAGTCCTTACAGATCATTCSTCTGCCTCTTCACCTCTCTTGCTTTCCAGACTAGTTTTCCCCTCCCTTTATAGAACTGGCACACAGCAGTGGATTCACATTTACACTCTTACCCACTTTTTCCACTGGTCTTTTTCCAGAGAAATGTATATTCTAGCCAGGAGACCTTCCTCTGAGATAAATGACTGCCTCCCAAAGCCTTGTCAAATTGTGTCCTATGGTCCCCTAATACAGATAGGAAAAATTAGGTCAATGATATTATATACCTTGCTCATAGATTGCTGCTAGTACATGATGAATATTGAATTTAATTCCAGATCTGTCCCCAAAGAACTTGCTCTTATCAAGTATGTTTATACTGCCTTTCTACATGCTATGTCACCTTTCAAATTGAACAACCAAGTTAAAATTCGATGCTGCATAGCTAGTKATTTCTATAAGCAACTTTGCTGAAATGATAACACTGGTATGCAGTTGTGTACTGTTTAGATGACTCTCTAGTTGACATCTGATCTTCACAAAACTCTTGTTTAGGTTGGAGAAATGAACTTTATGAGCCTTATTTTGTACACAAGCAAAACTGAGTTCCAGGAATATAAGGTGATTTTTTTCAGGGCCACTACATTAAAAAAAAAATTCTGAAATCAGATAAGGACCCAGTTCTCCTGAGATACTGATTTTCTATTTTCCTTGCTCATCAATTTGTACTTGGGTGCCTGAGTGACAGAATTTGGTAACAAATCATTTGTAATGATTGCTGTTTTCACCTTGAATTATGTGAGAAGTTTAAAGATACAGGCTCACTTAAGTTTTTGAGCTGAAGATATGTGAATCTTTATCCACAAGCCCCATCCAAGCCCAAGTCTGGCCAGGCATTGTGCAAACTGAGAGGATGGAAAGATGGATAATGTGACTTTGTCCTGAGAATACAACCTTCTAATGGGAAAGGCAATCTTCTTGTAAAGTGTGTCCTTTTGAAACTTGTCTTGAAAATCAGGATTGGGTCCTTATTCTCTCAGTGTTGAAAATTAAACACCCAAAGCAAGAGCAAAAAAATTTATTAAAAGGGTAGATGAGAGAAAGAGAGAGAGAGAGAGCGAGAGAGAGAGAGAGATCCTGAGAGGAGCAGCTAGTCCAGAGCTGGTGCCCTAGGGAGTGGGGTRTCCTGTCCCTTTATAGATTTCAGGTTTCCTTTGTTCTCACATTTCTACCTCCTWCCCTGCCTAAGTGACCAAAAGGGCAGGAAGAGAGCTGTCCAGGGGTTAATTGCTTGTGTTGGACAATGTAATCCTTCCCCTCCCTGCAGATTGTTAGCAATCAGGTGATGAGGAGCACTATCTACTTTTTCCTTTTCTTTGATAATTAGCTACCTGTCCCTTGCCCTGGTCTCACTTTTATCCTCTGGTGGGAAAGGATTGTCCTAATGAGATATAAAGAACTCTAAGAAATACAAAGGGAGAGGGCAGCAAGTCTTCCTGAGGAAGRTTTCATGGTGGAGGGGACTTTTGAGTTTGATCTCAATGAACTAACTTTAGAGATGAAAAGACTGAGTCACAGGGTTCTGCAAAAGACCTCATAATTTTTTAACTTCATTACGCTTCCTAAAAATATGCTTGTAACCACAGCTCTTTAGAGAATAGTAGYATACATTATTTATTGGAACACTTAAAATATTAACATCAATAAATTCCACAGTAGCTTTACAAATACCATGCCCAGTTGGATAAGCCAATTTGAAATAATGGTTTTCAGTTACTCAAACTTTCCAATTATACAAAGCTGGTAAGAATTCATGGAAACAAATCAGAAGCCCAGAATAATCATTTCAATTCTCCAAACATCAGCCATTTTAGACAGAGACTCTTTCCTTCTAGCATTTCACATACTTTTTATTCATGCAAAGAGGCATTGCTTCCTCACAGTGGATACTTAGAGTAAGAGTGTTTTTCTCTTCCAAATAAGTGTAAGATTTTTATAAGTGCCACTGAATTTTATCTCTTCAATATTAAGAGCCTAGATGTCTAATATGTTTGGATTATATTGAGCTAGAAGGCAAAACTCTCCCAAATTTAGAAACTGAAAGACATCAGAGCAAAACTCTTGAGGCAACCCAAGAGGAGACTGCTCTCCATTCTCCTTTGGTCCACAAGCTCATCTATGATTGAATTTTCCAGAAAGCTGACACCAGGCTTGACCTGGATCCTAGATAATGAAGATCTTAGCCTGGTATTTCTGGCAGAGAAGGAATATTCCATCATGTGACCTCTTACTTCTCCTGCTTCAATTAGTTGTTTTGTTTGTTTTCTGGGTGGAACCAGATATATTTATACCCTCTACTTGCAACCATGATGGAAGGCTCCTTCTTATTCCTGACTCACTGAAGAAGGTCCACACCTGCGGGGCTTGGAGAACATCAGAACTGGAGTAAAATCTGATATCCCTGGAGGAGCATCCTACCTTTAAGCAGCCTTTGAAGGGGCAGGAGGTCCTGGGAAAGCTCTGCAGCACTGAGGATTGTTGGTGAATATCAATCTTTTGTTGAGAATCTACAAATGAATTTTGACAGAGGTGCTCACTAAGGCGGTGAGCTACCTGGGGAAGTAGTGAGCTCCTTACTGCTGGTAGTATTTAAGCAAAGGCTGAGTAGGCATATATTTGGGGTTCATGCATAAGGCAAAGGTTGGACTAGAGGTCCTAAGATCATCTTCCAGCTCCTGTATTCCTTGTTTTCAGGTTCTTGTTTTACCCTGTGCATGTCTGTTTCTTTACTCTTAGCACATTGTTCTGTAATGATGTGTCCAGATATTTGCCTCCTCCCACAAGTCTGATATTTGTCTCCTTGAAGAAAAGGACAACATTTATCCTTTTCTATCTCACATTTTTAGCACAATTAGTACATAGAAGACACTGAGTGAATTTTTATCAAATGAATTTATTTTGCATAGCAATGTGTATGTATGAGTGTGTGTGTGTGTGTGTATATATATATATATATATATATCTTAATTTATAATTTAAATTATCCACAAGTAGGTCTTGCTTGCAGTAATCATGCTTATGTTCCTTAGAACCAGTGTTTCCTTAAATACCTGAGTGATGGATTATGCTACCCAATTCTCCAAGCACAGCTCTTCTAATTAATTTGTTCCATCTCAACAGAGGTAGCCACAAAATTACAGTTAAGATAGAGCCTAAGTATGGCCAAGGTTTTTCTGAATTTGTATTTGTAGACCAAGTCCCCAGTGCCAGAAATRTCCCTCAAAATGGTGACTACAGAACTAGGTGCAACTCATCTGCATTAGGTAGGCAGGTGTTTCGCATGGGGAGTCAGGAGTAGTCTTATCCCAAGCTTAGTAAGGGAGGCAGATGTATATGAGACAGGGACTCCAGAGCCATGCTGGGCAGAGGGATAGGCATGCAAACTAAAGTGAGAGCAAGAATTGGGAAATCTCAGCAAGTTAGACTGGATGAGGAGGTCGGAATGGAGCCAGGAAGCAGAGGCAGATAGGGTGTGGTTGGAGAGTAGAGAAATTGCAAAGAAGCAGAGGAGGTGGGTGAGATTACAAACAGAATACATTTTAAAGGGAAGTGTGAAACTAAGATATGCTTGGGTCAAAGACAAGCATTTCATTCACCCATTCATTCATTCATTCATTCATTCAACTTATCTATATTTTTTACCTTGTGACAGCCGCCATGCAAATGGCTAGGGATACTGATACAAATAAGTTGGAATCTCTGCTCTTAAGTGCATAAACTATTAACTAAACTCTACAGACATATTAGCAGACAATTACAATACAGTGCAATGAATGGCATAACAAGATAAGCATAGGTAGTCTGTGTGAGCCTCTGGGGAACACACAACCAAGTCTAAGGTGAGACAGGAGGGGTAAGTTGAAGTTAGCAACATGAGGAAGGTATGATGGGGTGACAAGGTAGGAAGCAGGAAGAACAATCTTGCTAAAGCTCTGGGAATGACTAAATATTCAAAAGACTGAAGGGGGAACTTATTTACAGATTGCAAATACCTTGTTATAGTTGGGTCTCACATGCCATGTTAGGCTTTTTCCTGAGAATAATGAATCAAAAGAGTATYTTAATTGGGGAGTGACACAATTAGATTTGTGTTTTAAAAATACTACTACAAAGTGTGGAGAATGGGATGGAAGAAGTGACGACCAGGGAGCCGGTGAAGTGATGCAGCATCTCAGTGGGAAATGATGGTGGGTAAACTAAGGCTGGGACAATGAAAACAGAAGCAGGTAATTCTTGAAAGTTAGAATAGACAAAGCTCAGTGGTTGACTGGATGCGAGATGTAATCAGTCAAGGATGGCCAGGTTTCTGGCTTGGGTAACTATGTAGTGGCTCACTCCAAAGGCACATCAGCAAGAGAGGAGGATGTCAATTTCAGGAGAATTTTGGTCATGGGAGAGCCAGAGAGCTAAACATCTCTAAGTCTAAAGGGCCATTCTTCTGGACAGTCCCATACCACCTTATCAGAGTTAGCTGAGTCTCTTTGGGGAGCTTAAGGAGATATAATACCTGGCCAGAGTATTCACCCTGTCATTATCATTTATTCATCCATTCAATCAATCAATATTTATTGAATACCAATTTTATATTTATACTATTCCAGTATTCCATGGACTCCATCGTCTATGCAGGTAGCTAATTTCTTTAAAAAGCGATTCTCAAAGTCAAGAGTTTCAACTGTAAGTTTTTAATAGTTTTTCCTATTCAACCCACCCAACTTGTGCATGTTGTTTGAGCCTTCCTATGCTGATCTAGAGAAAAGTATTTCCTCACTTCTTGTTTCCATGGTTGCAGTAATTTTTTTTTTCATTAAGTTCCCATGACTGCTTTAAATTTTAGTTTCTTCTTCCTGGACTTAAGTTTTTGATAGAGTTTTTACTGGGATAGAAGTTTAATATTTTAGTGAAAACCTTGAATAAGTTGTTTTATACAGGCAGAGACTTGGAAATTATTTTCTAGGATTGTGACTTTCATGAGCAACTTTGACTCAAGGGATCCTGTTGGAGTTTCAGTAACAGATGTGATTGATCAAAGTCTTCCTTGCAATACTTGTATCTGATGAAATTTCATTTCACATTTGATGCTTGGCTTCCCACGCTGAGGCGTGAAATTTGAGAAGCAGAGAAATCAGCAGGGTTTGCAGGTTGCAGTTAATAAAACACTCAACGTCAACCTATCTAGTTCAGATTAATAAAATGAAATGCATATATGTGAAGTCTAACCTCACACATCCAGACGATATCATCTTGCAAATTTGTTTCCTGGGGATGTGTAGGCTATTGGGTAAAGAGGGTGAGGAGTCTACTTTGAAAACCACTTTCTGATTAATCAGTAATGCCTATTTTTGTCAAACAAATCTCTTAAGATCTCCAAYACTCTTCTGAAAGAATTGCAAGGATTAATGAAGTGATTTTTTTAAATTAATGAAGTTATTTTGAATTACCAGTCTATAGTTAATAAATGTTGTTTTTAAAGAATGGACTATTATTAATAACGTTATTTCCTATCTTATCTTTTTTGTGTGGGAGGTACCCAGGATTGAACTAAGGGGCACTCAACCACTGAGCCCCATCCCAAGTCTTATTTTGTATTTTATTTGGAGACAGGATCTCCCTGAGTTGCTTAGCACCTTACTGTTGCTGAGGCTGGCTTTGAACTTGCAATCCTTCTGTCTCAGCCTCCTGAGTCACTGTGATTACAGGTGTGTGCCACTGTGCCCAGATTTTATTTCCTAATGAAGATAAAAATGTTGGATATTTATTTTAGTTGATTAAATAATACAAGTGTGATCATGGTTCAGACATGTTTTAAATTTTGCACGGAGAACATCTCTTGTTCAACAGAGCCCCACTTAGCCACCTCTCATGGGCTGAGGCTATTGCCTCAGTTGGCTAATGGATAAATAATGCAGCTTCCTCAGTCCTCTGATGCAGTATATAAGTTGACTTTGCATGTAAAAGCATAATATTATAGCCTGCAAGTCTTGGAAGTCTGAAACAGGTCTTTGACAACATCTATTCTTAATATTTTCATTTAAAGTTGAAGTAGTTCAGTCTAGAAAAAGTAAACAATTTCCCAAAAGTCATCCAGTTAGTGCCAAAGTCAGAACTCACAGCTGGATTTATTTTTAAATCCAATGTTCTTACTGTTGCTTTGTGCTATATTCACTCCAGAAAGTCTAGAATTCCCTTCTAAAACTTTTGGGTAGTTGGCTTGAACAAAAATTCCTAGTAAGCTAGTGCCCAATAAAGTACACTATAATCTTTAGCACCTCCTTGTATTTTATTAGAGATTTTTGTTTGTGGCAACTCCCCTGAGCACCACACTTSCCTAGGCAGACATCCAAAAAGCAACAAGTCAGTCTTCCATGTCTGCTGACTGGCAGGCAGTGCAAGAACCTGCAAGGCAACTTTGAACAGCATTCTAGGGGCCAAATCAAGCCAGCTGGTCTGATTACAGCACATGATAATCAATGCCCATCCTAATTAGGCTGGCAGGATTTCTGCCATGGTGGATGGCCCACTTGCTGCATGCACAGATGTGGTGACTCATCCATGTTCAATTATTCAACCACTTTCATTTGAAGACCTGCTATATGCAGAGTGTTATTAAAACCTCTTTGTAATATGAGCAAAAGTTTGGGCATGAGTTGTCATGCACTGAGATACTGTTTGTAAGTAGAGATACCGCAGGAAGGCCTTCTCAGAGGTGGCCAGTGGAGTGGGATGACCTGTTTGTGAATGAAAATTGAGAGCCCTTGTGACATGTGCCTTTCTATCATGATTTTCAAGAGGAGGTGGAAAATTGGTTTCCATGGGGCCTATTGGCTCTGAGTTTTTTTTAAAATAATATTTATTACATACTTTTTCCAAATTACAAAATCAGCGTATGTTCATTGTGGAAATTGTAGAAAATTACAAAAAAAAATTAAAAGTAGCCATCATTCCAATACAATGATAACAACTTTTTAGTTGAATTTTTTTTCGTCTATTTTCTTTGACATATATAAGAATATATCTTTTTTTCTCTTTTAATTTTTTTCCTTCTCCTTTCTTCCTGCTGAAATTGAGATCTGACTGTGCCTCCTGAAATTCTAGAAGTCTATACAACACAGAGAAGTAAAGAGGAACTTCTTTGCCTAAAGCCTAGCACGTGCCAGTTGTTCCACTGTTTGTTACTCGAATACACAAAGAAACTTGGTTTGTGGACTTGAGCAACCTCAAACTCAGGCCATGCCCAAATCTTAACAATAAGCTTTTCATGCCAAAGAAACATGATAAATTAGAAACTGACTAATTTCCTTCATGAAATTTTCCCATCTCCAAGAGAACTTCAATACTAATTCACACCTCCTTTTTTTTTTTTTTTGTGCTCTTTATGTATTGTAGGGACTTCTGTTTGTTCTGAGAGCTGCACATACAAGGGGCTTGCTAGAAGCATGGACCTCAGTGAAAAGTGGGCTTTGGAGGAAGGAAACTGGTTGTCGCCTGGTGGAATTCATCATTTTCCCAGCACAAGGGCAGGTATGGTCGCTTTTGATGTCCCTGACACGCGTGGTACTCTTCAACTCCTGCACCTCCCTATGTGAGCCCAGCTGTTCTTGGTACATGCCCAGTGCTATTGCCTTTTCAAAAACAGCTGGGTGTAGAGGAGAGGGCATGCGCTCTGAAGTCAGACAAACCTGGGTTCAGTCCTAAACTTACTCCTTACAAGCTATGGGATTTTGAGAAAATACCTGGGCTGTAGCATAAGAGTAAGAATGCCTGCTACACAGAACTCTAATAAGAATCAGTAATGTAGGCTGCCATTTACCAAGCTTTGGCCCTTGCTAGGTGGGTGCTGGGGTATGTGTCAGGCATTATGCTCCTGTATTGCTTGCCTCCTAACAACCCTAGAAGCATTCAAATGAAGGCCAAAGCAACACCTACAAACAGAGGAGGTCAGCTCACCTCCCCTTTTTCTTTGTCCAGATATATGATTGTTGTGATTTAGCCTTAAATGATGGGATGTTGTAACTCTCCTGGAGTRGAGTGTAGAAATTAAGAACCCGAACCCTGAAACAGAACTCTAAGACTCAACTCAATACTTTCCCATCCCCCAAATCTGATAGAGATTGACTTTGGTGGTAAAAGGCTATGGATGGAGAGATCAGAGGTTACTGAACTGAATGCACTCACAAGATGCTTTTAGTGAGAGCTTGGCTCCCGTTTGTGTTCATTCATTCATTTGAGAATACTGTTTGTCATATATTATACACCAAGCAATGGGAATACAAGAGAGAAAGCAATATGGACATAGAGATCACTGGACAACATTCTCTGATGTGCCCCATCTCTAAAATGGGACAATTTACATAGCAACATTCACAGAGCTTTTGCACTGTACCAGGATACATCTTCCAAACAACATTATGGCAAACTGGAGGAGAGTTTCCAAAGGGAAAGTCAGATGCAGGAATTTGGATGCAGTCCATAGCTGTTTTCTCCTGTGCCCCAACACCTTGTCACTCTATCCACTTTTTAAAAGCTTGTTAAGCCAGTCTGTCTGCACAGACTGTGGAATTAAAGTTAATCTCCTTAGCTCAATATACAGCCCTTTCTGATGAGACCTCGGCCAGCTTCTCCAGACTCATCTCCTGCTGCTCACCACTAGGAATACCCACCTTCTCTCTTAGTAGATCTATTCCCTCAGGAGCCTTGTGTATGTCCTGCTTTCACATCCATGTGAGCCTCTGCAAAAGCTATTTCCAACTGCCTTCCACTTGGATGGTCCCTTCTCATCTTTGAAGCTTCAGCTTGAGTCAGCTGAGCTGGGATTTCTTCTTGCCCTTCCACCTATCTGCCCCCATTCTGTTCTTATTGAGAGGCCCTCTTTGGTGCTGCCACAGCACTTTCCACACTGTATCATGGCTGTCTGTATCCTGAATAGCTTCCTGAGGCAGATGTTTAATACGTCTTTGCATCACTGCAACCTGGCAAAGAGCTGATGGCCAGCTGGTGGCTGGATGAACGAATGAATGAATGTATGATGGATAGGACCACATCCTCTGCATATCTCTGCCTTTATCGAGAGGCTTTTGGGGCTGTGGCAACCCACTTGGCTGCACAACTGCTTCTGGGCACCACTGCATTGCTTTACCCTGCTTTCAGCACACCCACAGCATTTCACTCAGTGTCTCCAGGTCTATTTACCAAAGCTTGAAAGCAGAGGAAAGAAATAGGTGAGGTTTGCCCACTGGTGTTTTTGTTACCCAGGCAATAGAATCAACCATCCTAGAATTTTAGACCTGAAGGGAACCTCTGGGATCACTGTAACAAAGGGTTGACAGTGCTTATTGTGACTAGCTCCACACACTACCGTATCCCTCTGAGTTTACCATGTCAGATATCTACATTCTTTGGAAAAAGKTTGGACAATAGGAAGGGGAAACAGACCTGTGTTGAGGTCTGCCTACAGGGGAGGCACAGCTGTGGGGTAAGTGATGCGCCTCTGAGGCAGCAAATCCTATGAAATCTGGTTCCAGTTCAGATAATATGTCTGCAATGATGGAGGCACCCAAGACAAAGTCTGGCCATGTTTAGATATTAGATATTAGGGTATAGCACAATGACAAGGGATGGATGTGGTGAAATCTGAAAACGCTTGTGGGCTGCTATTAGGGTGGTTCCGAGGCCTGGGCTGGGATTCAGGAAAGATGTTAAGTCTTAAAGGGATTGAGTAGGGAGGCAAAAATGGGAATCTGGTGAAGTCTGGAAGTGGGATGAGGAAACTCATGCAGAAACAAAGAGTGCTCACCCCACGGTGCCAGAGCTAAGTCAGATTGGAGAAATCAAAAAAAATTTTCTTTTCTTTCTTTTTTGTGGAGAGTATGGGGGATTGAACCCAAGAGTACTTCATCACTGAGCAACATCCCCAGCTCTTTTAAAATATTTTATTTAGTGACAGGGTCTTGCTAAATTGCTGAGGGCCTCACTAAGTTGCTGAGGCTGGCTTTGAATTTGCGATCCTCTTGCATCAGCCTCCAGAGCTACTGGGATTACAGGTGTGCACCATCACACCAGGCTCAAAAAGATTTTAAATCATTTACTAAGTATATACTATTATATACAATTGTCAGACACTACACTAAACCTCTTTTTGTATAGATATAGACTATCTCAAGCTTTCTCACAACTGTATTCTCATTTTATAAATGAAGAAACAGGGCCTGAGAAGATTAAGGAACTTGTCCAAGGTCATTTGGCTTACAAATGACTAAACTGGGATTTGAACCTAGATCTTTCCCATTCCAGCCCCATAAGCTATTGCTCCTCAATCTACTCTCCAACACTCCCTACTCTGTCTTCATAATTTAAGGCTCTGGTGAACCAGTTACAAACCTTTATTATTGGTGGTTTAATTGCCACAGTAGAAAAGAGAACTAGCTCTGAAGAGGGCCAAAAAATCAACAGAGCTGTTGTAACATGTGGATCTTATCCAAGCTTACAGCTGCCTCATCTAATGCACTGCAAGGTCTCTACCCACCTGCTTCCAAGTATCTTTTCTCAGCACCATGTTTCTCTACCCCATCTCTCCCCACCACTGACTGGTACTAGCTGTTCCATCTCTTAGGCCCAGTTGGGGAGAGTGGGGTTTGAATTTCTAATGAAGTACTGGGAAAGTCCTAGAAGTGTCTAGGTCTTGGGGTCTGGTTCTTGGCTTCATGAAATCCTGTGAGAATTGTGTTAACTGCAGGGAAGTGCAGTCATCCTGGTGAGTCATAGACCTCGAGGCAGATCCACACAACATCTGTCCTTGTGTTATCCTTGGAGCATCTCCGGCTGCCATTAGGGTGGGACTACCTTCAGGAAGCTGGCTGGGGAGAGTCCAGGATGTCTGGGGGTGATAAGGAGTTTCTGAAAGAAACTCTCTCTGTGTCGTACACTTCCAAGGACCTGGGCCAGTGGGTTTTCAAACTTATTTTAAAGATCTGAAGGGCATTTTCCAAATGAAATTGTATGTAATCCCTGACACCTAAAACACGAGGGGATGGCCTTTGGCTGGTGCCCTGTTTCTGACTGTTGCGTTACAAGTCGATCTGGCTCTTCATTTGATTTGTCAACTGCCACATTATACGTATATGTGATGCAGGAGGGAGGCCCTTCTCAGTAAAACCATAAAACATTTCTTCTTCCTGTTCCAGATGTGCTCATTCAGCTATTTAGGAGTCCTGCTGTCATCTACTAATTTCAAGGGACTCCACCTGTTTACTTACCTCATTAGGGGAGAATCAGGAAGTCTGGGAAGCACAGCCTGGCAGGGTGGACCAGGTGCACTGCAGAAATTTAATGGGACTGCTTCCATTATGCTTTTAAAACAGGAAGGCGCAGATTTCCCTTCTGGTGCCTCTCAGGGTCATTGCTCAGGAAGGAAGCAACCTTTTCTGAGTGCGGTTTGTAAGCCAAGTGATACCACTGCATTTCATTCAAACCCTCACTGGAATCTTGTGGAGTAGTTATTCTGATCTCCATTTTGCAGATGAGTACACTGAGTCTTGGAAAGGCTGGTTAGTGAAGCCAGACTCACACAGCAAATGGCAGCAGAGCTCATGTTTAGACTCGGGGCTTTACACTTCAGAGCTGTGTCCTGTCCATTACTTTTTTGTCAAAGGGCAATGTTATTCTGCATCTCCACATTTCCACGAAGTTTGATGCTTTTTGTCTTGCATTCCATGGTCAAAGAGGAATATAGGAAACTCTGTCACCTATCACCTTTTACTGGCATTTGTTCCATCACACTTCCTAAGGGCCATCCTGTGTTCTACCCCTCCCATTTTATAGACACCAGTGCAGATGAGGTGGTTTGGGGTCTTTTCAAAGTTTAATGACAAGACTATAGCTAAAGTCCAGACCTCTTCCTGTCCTTCCCATCACCTCCACTGTGATAATCACACAATGTACTGGGAAAACCATTTTCATGTGGAAGAAGAGATACATCCCAAGGTCACTCTATTTGCAGCTCTGAAAGGAGCCATTTTCTCTCAAGCCTCTGTACAGGATGCTGGGGTGAAAAACACAAGATCTAGGTGGTCGGCATTTCAGCAGACACTCACATTCATCTCATGGATTTTTAAAAATAGTTTTTTATAGATTGCAATTGCAGCAAATGTGTTTGCCCTTTTTCTTAACACAAGATATTTCATCTGATTTCGCTCAATAGATCCAACCGGGTGTAAGTAGGAAGGATATGATTTTCCTCTACAGGAACCTTTTGCTGTGTGTATTTTTGGAATAGTTTTTTATTCTGATTCATGTCTACACCTTCTAGTAGCTTCTTGACTTAGCCAGAGTTTATTTCCTTTGATATGATATTGAGTAGGATTCTTTTAAATCTTCATCTCTATATCAYAGCTAGTAACAGGAATATGAGAATGGGGGACTGGATAAATTCAATTTGCTTATGTATTTTTGCAGAATACCTTGCTTTTGTTAACAGCATCTTCTGCACTGATATTTGAGGTTTTTTTTTAAGAGAACATATTTAG